TCACTGGCGTACACATATTTGTTTGTGTAGCTGATTTCAGTTTTTAAGGGTATATAACTAGGAGTAGAATTGCTGAGTCATATGTTAATTCTATGTTTTAACTTTTTGAAAAATTCCCAATAATGGACAAGGGTTCAAATTTCCCCACATCTTCACCAACATTTATGGTTTTTTGGTGTTTTTCTTTTTTCCTTTTTTTAAGGAACTATCATAGTATTTCCTCCACTGGTGGCCACTGGCCTCTTACTTTTTTTTTCCGGTACCGGGGATCAAACTCATGACCTTGCGCTTGCTGGGCAGGCGCTGTGCCGCTGAGCTAAATCCCCAGCCCCACTGCTTTTTCTTTGTGCAGGGGATTGAACCCAGGTCCTCAAGCATGCTAGGCATATGCTTTACCACTAAGCTACACGGCTCCCCTGCTTTTAAATTTAGAGGTATTGCCAGGCGTAGTGGCACAAGCTTGTAATCCCAGCACTCTGGAGGCTGAGGCAGGAGGATCATTGCAAGTTCAAGGCCCGCTTTGGCTACAAAGTGAGCTCAAGGCCAGCCTGAACTGCATAGTGAGACCATGTCTCAAAAAGACTAATTAATTAATTAATTTAGAGGCAGACTCTCACTAAGAAGTTGCTCAGTCTGCCCTTAAACTTGCAATCTTCCTTCCTCTGCCTCCTGAGTAGCTGTATTATATGTGTGTACTACCACACCTAGCTTTATTGTTGTCTAAGACAGGCATATGCCACCATGTGCAGCTATGCCTAGCCTTTGCTAATCAATTTTGAGTTATTTTTGTACATGGTATTAGGTAAGGGTCCAACTCCATTTTTTTTTTTTTTTTTTTTTGCATATGGCTAATCAGTTGTCCCACGGCCATTTGTTTAGGAGACTATTTTGTCTCCCAGGCATGGTCCTGGCACTTTGTTGAACATCAACTCTACAGAGGTTTTTTTCTGGATTCTCAGTCCTATTCCACTGGTCCTTATGTTTGTCTTTATTTTAGTACCATACTGTTTTGATTATTGTCATTTTGTAGAGTGAATTTTTTCTTCTCTTCCTCCTCCTTTTTTTCCACTATGTTTTGGCTATTTTGGGGTCCCTTACAATCCATATAAATTTTAGGATAGTTTTTTCCCATTTATTAAAAAAAAATCACTAGAGGGGCTGGGGATCAGCAGCACAGTGCCTGCTTGGCAAGCGCAAGGTCGTGAGTTTGATTCTTGGGACTGGAAAAAAAAATCACTAGAACTTTGGTATGGATTGCATCAAATCTGTAGATTGCTTTGAATCATATTGCTATCATCTTAACAATATATTAGTAGGAATGTCTTTTCATTTATGTAGGAATTAAAAGTTGTCTTTAATTTATTTCAGCAGCACCTTGTAATTTTCAGTGCACAAGTCTCTCACCTCCTTGTTTATATTTATCCCAAGGTATTTTATTACTTTGGGCACTATTAAAATTGGGATTGTCCTCATTTTCTTTTCAGACTGTTTCCTGCTGGCATATAAAACAAAACTGACGTGTGTGCTGATCTTAGAGGTCCTGATGTTTTTGAACTTACACAATTAGTATGCGTTATTTGGAAACTTGCATTCGTGCTCAGCATTCTGTAGAAATTATCCATGGTGCCAACCATAACTAGCCCATTCATGTTTTTCTTCTTGTATGATATCCTACACATGAAGATACCACAATTTATCTCTTCTTCTTTTAGGCTATTTCTAGTCTTTCACAGTGCAAAAGTGCTGCTCTGCATATTGGTGGGGAGGGGCAGGGTTCTGAGCCAGGGCTGCACAATTATCTGTGCAAGCCTTTTATAACTAACAGGAACATTGAGGCTGGAGATGTGGCTCAGCAGCACAAGCACCTGCATGGAAAGTGCGAGGTCCTGAGTTCAATTCCCAGCACCAAAAAGAAAACTAACAGAAACAAAGGCCCACCTCCAGAGATAATGATTCTGTTGATCTGGTGTTGGATGTCAGTACTTTTAAAAGATCCTTAATGTTCAGTCTGTGTGGAGAATCACTCTAAGTATGTTCACTTCCAGTTTTATTTCATATAAAATAGTTTTCCAATATGGCTGTATTACACCAGCATCATCAGCAGTACACATATTCCATTCCTCCAGCACTTGGCATTGTCAGATTTCTGTTGTTGTTTTGAGATGGGATCTCACTATGTAACTCAGAGCCTCCTGTCTTAGCCTCCTGAGAAGGGGAATTATAGGTATGTACCACTATATCTGGCTGCACCGTCAGATTTTTAAATTTTACCACCTGATCTCTGATATAATATGACTTGACTGATATTATTTCTAATTATGATTAATAATTAGATTGGATTTTTTTTTTTTTTTAGATAAAGTCTTGCTATGTAGTCCAGGCTGGCCTTGAACTCACTATGTAGCCCAGGGTAGCCGGGAACTTGTGGTAATCCTCCTGCCTCAGCCTCCTGAGTGTTGGGATTACAGATGTGTGCCACCAC